CTTTGTTATCCTTAATTATTACTGTCGATAGTGCCCAACTTATAAAGTGTATAAACTTTTTCATTTTTGAGTTTGATTGGTTGCTGTGCACAACAATTAGTTGGTATTTGATGTCAAGAAACTAAAGTCTTATTTTCCTTTATTTTATTTTTGGAATGCTTATTACCAATTGTTTTGTTTTTAAACCTGATCCGTTTTCCACCTGTTACTGCTATGCTCATATAGTTTAGTTCAAAATTTTTTTGTTGCCACCAAAAAATTTACCGAAGCTCTGTGAAAAGTCGCAGATTTGTAAAAGTGGTAGTTTTTAAAATAATCTTATAACTTTAAGCTTATCTAATGGTAAATTTTTTTATTTCACTACAAATACTGATAAATCTCTTTTTTAAGTGCTCAGTAAAATCTTTCTTTCTAGATAACGGCCAAGTTAATTACACTTTTGGCAAATACATTTTTTGTTCTTACTTTTAGCTTGCCCACCAGGTCTGTACGGGCCAAATTGCGCTTACGAGTGTCCATGTCAAAACGGTGCTAAGTGTAACAGTAAAGATGGCTCATGCATTTGTCCATCAGGATTCTATGGGGTTGTCTGCCGAGAAAGTCAGTTGCTTTTCTTAAACATGCTTAGTCTGCCTGGTTTTTTTGTTTCTGCAGACATTTAGAAATTTGTTCTCAATCGTTTGTTATTTTGAAAGCCAGTGTAGATTTCGTGTATAATTTCAATGCTCTGATTCCTCTTATGTCCATGTTAAAATAAATAAACGTTATGTGGTGGCTTATTACTTCTTTCTGAGCAAGCAGTTATTTTATAGCATGTCCAAATGGTCGTTATGGCGCTGACTGCATGCATTTATGTGACTGTCATAACGGTGCAACTTGTTCGCCGGTTAATGGCACATGTTTCTGCAAACCTGGTTGGAGGGGAGAGAAGTGCGAACGACTTTGCGATGAAGGGACTTATGGAGAAAACTGCTCAAAGAAATGTACGTGCGCTGATGGTATTACGTGCGATCCATCTGATGGGGAGTGTGTATGTCCCTTAGGAAGACATGGAGGAAACTGTGAATTTGGTTAGCTTCTTCTGCTTTTGTCTTCTGTTATTGATTAAATTATTTTTGACACCGTTTTTTTTAAAGGTACTAGCTGAAAAAGTTGATTTGCTAATGCTTTTATTGAAGTTGCTTCAGGTGACTATTATACAAATTTTGAAGATTGCGTGATTATTTTTTTATTCCTCATCTTTTTTTCTCAGTAGGTGAATTTTCCATAAAATTTTAGAGCTTTACGGCAGTATCCAGCGAATTTTCTAAGGATGTGTTCAGATCTTACATATCAAGTTGTAAATTAATATCTAGTGTGGTCACATATGTTTTAGAATGTAAACCAGGACAATTTGGAGCAGGCTGCAAAGGAGTCTGCTTGTGCCAGAACAACAGTACGTGTAATGCTACTACTGGTGCATGCATATGTGCTCCAGGTTGGAGAGGTTTGCGGTGCGAAAGACCTTGTCCTGACGGAAGATATGGAAGTGAGTGCGCCGGTATCTGCAACTGTTCGTCATCAGGTATTTTTTTTTCCAATTTGTATGGCTGCTTTCATCTTTTTTTCTGTATCACTCTTCTTCTTCTGAGGTTTCAACTAGATATATTAAGGTCTAGACATTTTTGAACATGGTACAAGATGTCATCCAGTTACTGGAGAATGTACTTGTTCTGACGGCTGGATGGGATCGGACTGCCGTACTCCTTGTCCTGCTAATAGGTTAATATCTTGCGCTCAGGCTCTCTAGTCGTTTTTTTGTTTACTTTACGGAATCGCAACAAAAAGTTCTTCTGACAATGAAAACAGGCAGCAAGCTAATTTAACTGTTATCGATATGTATACAGATGGGGACCTGGGTGCAAAAATGCGTGCGAGTGCAAAAATGGCGGAACATGTGATCGAATTACTGGGCACTGTTTATGCCCGCCTGGATTTATGGGGAAGCATTGTAGTGAAGGTTTCTGGCATATAGCAATATTCCTTTTTTTTTCCAGCAGTTCAGCATATCTCATATGTGCTCATATTTGTTCTTAGATTTTGAAAGTAGTTTTACTTGCAAATCATTTAGGGTGTCCAGCGAACCTTTTCGGTCAAAACTGTGAAAACCACTGTTTGTGTATGCACGACAGTGAATGCGATTCTTTGACAGGCCGATGTAAATGTGCCCCTGGTTGGACGGGAGACGCATGTGAATTCAGTATGCGTTTATACGTTAGTTGGGAGATCGACTGCCAGGCTTTGATTTTATTAAAAAATTTGATGCTTCTTCTTTTTTGAATAAAAAGATGCTAAATGTATATATGTTGCTGTTCAGTTTGTCCGTTCGGTCAATATGGTGTTAAGTGTGAGCAGGAGTGCAATTGTACAAATGGTGCAGGTTGTGATCGAACAGATGGGACTTGTTCGTGTTTGCCAGGTTGGACAGGAATTAGGTTTGTACTGAATAGATATCATCAAACTCTGCTTTTTCGCAATTACTGAGCCTAAGATTATGTTGGCGACATCACTTTATTAAGGTGCGAGAAACCATGTTCTCATGGTCATTATGGCGTAAATTGTCAGGAAGTTTGCCAGTGTGAAAATGGAGGCACTTGCGATCCTATCAGCGGGCACTGTATTTGTGCTGATGGTTGGAGGGGGCGAAAGTGTCACAAACGTGAAATTTTTTCTTTTGAATAGATAAAAAGTCACTACAAACTGTTATTTAAGAGAGGATATTTTCAGCATGTTTAAAAGGTTATTACGGCAGACACTGTTCTCAAGTTTGCCGATGTGCTCATAACAGACCTTGTGACCATATAACTGGCCGATGTCACTGCCCTCCCGGTTACACAGGTCATTCTTGTACTGATTTGTGCCCACGTGGTACATACGGAGAAGGATGTACCGGTGTATGTGCCTGTAGTGCCAATGCAGAATGTGATCCCATTACTGGAAAATGTCATTGCAAACCTGGTTATTCTGGTTCTGACTGTAGTCAAGGTTGGCCGTCACAAAAATTAGTTGGCTTTGGCTTGGACTACGCAGTCTATTATCCGGCTAACGTTTCAGGTTGCATACAGGGAAAATACGGAACAGACTGTCAACAAACTTGTGAGTGTATTAATGGAGGGCTTTGCAGTGATATTACTGGAGGTTGTACATGTCCTCCAGGTTTTATTGGGACAAAATGTGAAATTCCGTGCCCCGAGAATAGATACGGTGAAAGGTGCATCTTTTATATTGTATTTTATCATATTTATTGAAAATACATTTTGCCTTGATGCTTCGTTTTGACACCACTTTTGAAAATTTTTATCTTGATTCGGTTTTCCTCATAATAGAAAAGTTTAGGTGCGAGCGAAAATGCGAGTGTGAAAATGGTGGGACATGTGATCGTTCTTCTGGTCAGTGTCGTTGCAAACCAGGTTTCATTGGGTTACGGTGCGAAATTCCTTGCAGCCAAGGCAAATATGGTCCTGGTTGTAAAGAAAAGTGTCGCTGTGAACACCATTCATATTGTGATCCTGTGGATGGAAAGTGCACGTAATAATTTTATTGCCAAACTCGGCTTTCTTCATTTAAATTGGACCACTTTATCTATTTGCTTTAATAAGACATCCTGTTGAGAATCTTTCAGATGTTCGCTTGGATACACAGGTCCTACTTGCAAAGAAAATTGTCCACAAGGGAAGTATGGAGCTAATTGTTCTTTGGACTGTGACTGTTTTGGGAATGCACCGTGCGATCCCACCTCTGGGTGCTGTTTCTGCCCAAAGGGCAGGTACGGCTCGAGGTGTTTATACGGTTTGTTTGTCTTTTGAACTGACTAGTTCTCATTAGTACTGATGGCCCAAAAAACGAGTTTAATTTGTCTTTTGATAAATTTCTTTCTTATTTTCAGTATATTTCTATTTTTTTGTCACAACGAAATAAAAGTTTTTCAGAATGTCCAGAAGGGTTTCACGGTGAACAGTGCAGTTCCAGATGTGAGTGTCAAAATGGAGCAACCTGTGACAAAAGGAATGGACGATGCCTCTGCAAACCTGGATTTTTTGGAGACCATGTATGACATTTCACACAAAATTAGTATTTTCTTTATTAGCACTCATTTTTACAAGATTGTTTGTTTGTTTAGTGCGAAAGATTTTGCGCGAATAATACGTATGGACAGGATTGCAACTTACGATGTGATTGTGGAGATTTTGGCTGTCACCACATTACTGGGGAATGTGACTGTCCTTTAGGGTTATACGGGTATCGCTGTAGTAAAAGTATGTCTTTTTATGCGTTTTAAGTTAACAACGTTTCTATAAGTGATTTGCTCCTATTGGTTATTAGTGATTATATTGACTGAAATTTATGTAAGCGTTTCTATTTGTTAGTAC